GAAAAAAAAAAAAAAAAAAAAAAAAAAAAAAAAAAAAAAAAAAAAGGGGAAAAAAGGCGGGAAGACGGCACGGCAGCGATCTGCTTTGAGAGAGCAGTCGTTAGGTTCCTATAAAAGATCCCCATTTACATTGGAGGGTTCTTCAGCTTCACTTTTTAGCTGCCCTATTTATTGCATTCTGAATTTCTTGAAAATCGGATTTTGAACTCAGGAGAAAGAGGAGTGGCGGCAGTGTTTCTTGAAAAATAGATTTTGGAGGGAATCTGAATCTGATTTGCTTAGTGTGAATCAGATTCTGCATCATCTTTTTTTGTTGTCTGGTATACTCTCTCTCTCTCTCATTACAGCGAAGCAGTGTTTTTGTGGGTTTGTTTGGTTTTGTTGGTTTGTTTGGTTTTGTGGGTTTGTTTGGTTTAAACAAAAAAAAAATAAAAAAAATATGAGGTGTTAAAAATGGTGAACGTGTATCTATTATTGCTTGTGATTAAACGAGATATTTTGATGTACTTGGTTTTTGATTAGTTGACTTCATAATCTACTGTACTCTACTTTATTAGCCTGCCTTTGCACGTTTTGATTAATTATATTGTTATTCTTGTCATAATTCCTTTGTTCATATTATTTATTTATTTATTCTGAAGTATTTAATTTCTTGAAAAGAAAAAAACTTTGAATTCTTGGCAATTGTAATAGTAATTCTCATGGTAGGCACTTCTTACGGCATGTTTGTTCGAGTTCTGATCTATCTTTGCTTGTTGAGGCATTTTGTTTTCTGACAGATTCGTGTCCGTTTTTCGTTTTTTTTCGACAGGATTATTTAGGGATTCCCACAATTTTATCGATCGAGGAAGGAGAAGTTGTATCGAGTCGATTGAAAATGTATTTGGTGGAGAGTAAAGGAGGTGCAATAGCTTGTATGCTGTTAGCTTTGTTTTTCTTGGGCACATGGCCTGCTATATTGACGCTTCTCGAAAGGAGGGGCCGTCTCCCCCAACACACTTATCTCGACTACACGATCACAAATCTACTGGCTGCTGTTATCATTGCTTTCACGTTCGGTGAAATAGGAAATGGCACGATCGAGAAGCCGAATTTCTTGAATCAGCTTTCTCAGGTGCGATCCATTGATTTTATCCTCCGATATAAATTCTTCGATTATAATAATTTGGATGTGATTATTTTTCTTGGACAATTGATGTAGGATAATTGGCCGAGTGTAATGTTTGCAATGGCTGGTGGGATTGTATTGAGCCTCGGAAATCTGGCGACGCAATATGCGTGGGCGTTCGTCGGTTTGTCGGTGACTGAAGTGATTACGTCGAGTATAACCGTTGTAATAGGTACTTACTATATATATATATAGAATATGTTCGTTTTCTATGTTTTCGTTTTGCACGACTACCGCTTTTACATTTTGCACTGTTTCGGTTATTGTGTAGGGACAACTTTGAATTATTTCTTGGATGACAAAATCAACAAAGCCGAGATTCTTTTTCCCGGTGTTGGTTGTTTTCTGATTGCTGTTTGTTTTGGTTCGGCTGTTCATTCGTCCAACGCAGCAGATAATAAAAAGAAGCTCACTACTTTCTCCGATGATACTAAAGATGGCGAAATGTACGTATTCGTTTAGTAGTACTTTAACAAGTCATGCATAATTTAGTAAGTGCATTGATATTAGTGTCGGGTTATTTTTTGACAGGACAAACGATGCTCATGCCTCGGAAACATACGCAAAAAAGGGTACGAGGATATCTTAATTTCTTGATTTTTTTTCTAATTTTTTTTCTTCGTGTTTTCGTCTTGAAGTTATACATATATCTTACTAATAGATCTGGAGAATGGAAGTGCTTCCAATGAGAAGGCAAAGTTCGGGACCGCACATTTCCTCATTGAGCTCGAGAACAAAAGGGCAATTAAGGTTTTTCGCTGCGCCTTTCTAAATTTTTTTTAATATGATAAAAAAAAAAAAGTTAGTTTCAAATTGGTTGGCCGTTATATATTTCGGCATGATTTTTATTTTTTTTGTCTTTTCTTGAAATGTCAGGTTTTTGGGAAGGGCACTTTGATCGGGTTGTCGATAACTTTCTTCGCGGGATTTTGCTTCTCTCTCTTCAGCCCAGCTTTCAACCTCGCCACTAACGATCAATGGAACACATTAAAAAACGGAGTTCCACACTTGAGCGTATACACTGCATTCTTCTACTTCTCGGTTTCTTGCTTTGTGTTAGCTATAATTCTCAACATCACCTTCTTGTATAAGCCCGTTTTGAATCTGCCCAAATCATCGATAAAGGCTTATTTATCGGACTGGGAGGGTAGATGGTGGGCCCTACTGGCCGGGCTCTTGTGCGGGTTCGGAAACGGGCTTCAGTTCATGGGCGGTCAAGCCGCTGGCTATGCTGCAGCTGATGCTGTTCAGGTCAGTTCAAATTCATCACTGCATATATTGTTTTATTAATCACGAAGTAAATTACGCTATAATGGGCCTCGTTTGGTTGTAAAGATATACGCCCGTGATTAATTAAGATAAGATCTTGATTACAGGCACTTCCGCTAGTGAGCACGTTTTGGGGTGTACTTTTGTTCGGAGAGTACAGAAGATCGTCGAGGAAAACATACGTACTTTTAATTGGCATGTTGTCGATGTTTATTGTTGCTGTTGGAGTTCTTATGGCTTCGTCGGGTCACAGGAAGTAGTTTCTCTTGGATGCGAAAGAATGTTTAAAGATTAAAAAAACAAACAAACGTGTACTTGTTTAGGGTTGATTCGTTTCGGTAACACATAAAATAAGTTGTATAGGAAGTTGTATTAGTTGTTCTTGGCATTAATCGATTAGTCGGTTTTTATTTGTAAAGAAACCAATAATCTCGTAAATATCTTTGTTGTTGTTGTTGCCTATGGTGGTAGAAAATCGAAAATTCCTCTCAACCATGCAAGAAGAAATAATAACTTCCAAGGTGGACAATGAATTAGCACAGCGAGTCGGTCGTTAACTTCTTCAACGCTTGAAATCGAGAAAATTGTTGGGCTGTAAAAATCATTTGATTACTCACAATCTCAAAATTTCTTGGTTTTACGAAAATATAAAGTTACTCTAAAAAGCGATGATTCAAAGTATTGCTAATGAGATATCGGAAAGACGGAAACGGTAACCGGCTCTATGCAATGCCTGAAGCTCCTACCTAGTCAACTTTTTCGTCTGAGGAACTTATAAACCAGTTTGCCTTCCATGCAACTGAAGGCGACAGTAGACGTTCGGTTTTCCAGCCCAGTGACGTAAGCTGCAAAGTAAGGTTAAAATATAAATTAATATTCCAAAAATCAATACGAAATATAGATTCTCTCCAAGAGTAGAGATGTAAAAGAAAAAAAACGTGCAATGAAAACCGATCTACCTTAAGAATAAATAATTCGTAGTATTTAGCCATCCATGATTGGCTCTCGAAATGCATAGATCTTTCTTTGTCGTCAAGTTTTGCCAAGACAAGAGCATGCACGAAAGCCTGTAAGATATCTGCTGCTGCTGAATCTTTATGCATAACGACACTGATTGTACTCTTTCTTGCAAGTAGCATGTACTTTCCTGTCGAACCGAAAATAAGTTAACACAACAACATTCTTGATTTGAACTATGTGAATGAAGAAAATTAAAGTATGTAAATGAGCTTAACCTTTTTTGTAATAAGAGCTGGCAAGATGTGAGAGGTCCACCCTGTTTTCAATCGAAAGAAAATTTACTGATCACTACACATTAGTTTCAGACCAAGTCGAAGACAATGTAGCGATCCGATGTGCTAAATGTAGTAGCGGCAAAAGCCAAGGATGAGAAAGTAAATTGAATACAGGGATCTTTGAAATGCATTAGATGACAAAGAGCAGTGTCGAAGCAATAAGAACAAAGTTGAAACTCACACTTGATCACTGTTGAGTGAAGAAATCCTGACACCTAATTGCACCCGTTGGTACAAACATTTAACCGTATTCGCTGTCCACGAAGTCGTCCACACGGGTAAAACATGCTCCATTACCGAGACCTGTTTTGGAGAAAGAACTAGCAGACCATGTGTGGAACTCTTGTGTCAGCGTGTTGAAACGCATATACAAAGAAGAGTAATGGAAAGCCAACTACTTAACTACTTGGATGTTTAACCGAAAATAAATATGGAGACTAAAAAGTAGAGGCACTAAACTCATTTCAACTCACCTTGACCAGTTTCCATGAAATGCGACAAAAGAATCGAGCTTCTTTCGCAATTTAACGTAGCCAGTGAAAGGCAACGGACGGCCTTGTAATTTGCTGCAAAGCCACAAGAAACAGCACGTAAAGTACAAGAAAAAAAATGAGCACTTGTGCAATTGCAGTTAATATTATCAAATTCAGACGTGATTAAATTGTCGTATTAGTAGGAAATATGAGAAGTCGATTAAGGAGACTAACCATACATATGAAAGACGGTAAGGGACAGAAAACAAAACCAAATGGCCGTTGCGTGTCCCGTAGTAATGTGAGCGAGGAACATTCCTAAAGCCATGCCAGTCATTGTTGCAATCGTCTCTTGGCTGCCTTCCTATTCGTGAAGGGAACAATTTAACCTAGCTAGCTTAATCACAATTTATGTTACTGCAATTTCTTGCTCGAGCTTTATAATGCAATACGTTACCTTAGCTGATATATCAGCTGCATTGTTCTGAAGTGCAAAATGCTGTGTTAATGCGGCTCTCGTAGCACCACTGGCAACCCCAGCTAGTTAGCAGCATGACGATGAAAATAAAACGGAGTAGAAATGGTCAATAATTATATTCAGGCACCGAAAATCAAAATGGTCAGTGGAGCTTATGAGAGCTCGGATAACTATTGAAACACGGTTTTGTAACTTACTGAATGATCGTGATATGCTTCCTAAGCATACGATGAAGACAAATGCTGATGGAAATACTGGGGAAACGAGGTCCATCAACATCCCTGCAACAATTCTACATTTCAGTGTAATAGAATTTGTCGGAGAAATTGATAAAAATAACAACTATAAGAGATAAATGGTCAAAATACTATAAAGAATCACTATAAAGCCCATTTTGCCAAAAAAAAAAAAAAAAAACGTGAAGACAGTGTTACCGAGGTCATTCATGAGATCTGCAACAAGACGCCACATCTTGGCATTGCTATCTAGGTTTGCCCCCTAAAAGAAACGGAAACGTGCTCTTATAAGCCTGCTTTAATTTGACCAGACATAATGTTTGCCGGGCCTGTTTTAATAGCACGTTAACACTGATTTTTATTCCAGATGGCTATAATCGAAGTCTCGAGATGCTGTAGTACACAGTTGAAATAAATCAAGAAGCGCCAAAAAATACCTGGTAAAATGTAAATAAGATACCTCCAAGCATTCCTGTTAAATCTCTTAGAAACCACTGAAATTGTTTTCAAAAGGAGAACTTCAGAAACGGGAAAAGACATCCACCGAAATTTTTCAAATGAATATCAAGATTTCACGTAATATATATATAAATATACCAGAAATGTGGCTCCGATTACTGTAGCAGACTTCTCACCAACCCCAATAGCACTTAGAAGAGCCTTAAGAAATTATCGAATTAATAAGTACTAGATATGCCATGGAAAATGTCTTAAACATTAATCTACGTTTGTAATCAATATATCACCTGGGTCGAAAGCATTGTTCTGATGTAAGTCGAAAGGCCCTGCAAACGAAATAAAATTAATAAACGCCTCGTAAAAAATTGGCAAGAGGCTCGTAATTGAATTCAAAGACTGCACAAAGATATGATTCCCAACCTGCAACGAGTCCCATACTTGAAACGGAACATAATCAGGAGTCACACTGCTCGGAAATCCCTGCATTTCACACACATTTCAGAAAAAAACGGCAATTATTCTACGACTAAGCAAGCGTAATCAAAACGAAAGCTAAAAGTTTAATTCTCATAGCTCGTGACATTAATATTTTCGATTTTTTGGGAAGAAAACCTAAAATTGACAATTCTTTTCGAATAAAAAGCAAAAAAAATTTCTTCCAAACAGCTCAAATCATGGATGAATTTAAAAATAAAATAAAAAATCCCTCCACTGAAAACGAAGACGATTATATATAGATACATTTCGCATGATCAATAAATCATATTAAATCAAGCCAATAAGCAAAATAATTACTACTTAATAAGCATTCAACAACAAGTTCTCTCCTAGCACCATTAAATTAAGCACCAATTTTTTTTTACCTCGGGAACAAAGGCGTCGAGGATTCTCCTAGAAAGATGATTGAAACGGCGAGAGGATTTCTGAACGGAGTCTCCGGCGACGGTGATGGTGGCGGTCTTCGTAAGCTTTGACGAATCGATGCCGTTCCATTCCTCAATCACGGCGGTTTCCGATCGGAGCTGCCGCGTTGAAGTGCTATCTCCTTCCATCGCAGCTTCTCCAGTATGCTCTGAAACTGCTGCCAGTTTATTTTAATTGGGAATTTAGAGATTTACCCCATAATTTTGCACTATTTTCTTTTTGGCCCCTAACATCTGGCATTCCTTCCATGTAAACCCTCCGAAATTTCTACTTTTCTATTTTTTTTTTTTAAATATGAATTCAATTATGAGTTGATGTATTTGAAAGAAAAAAAAAAACCCTTTAATTTGTCATCTTATTCTATACAAATTATCTCAAATATAATTATAAAATGAATTGCGAGTTGATGTGTTATAGTTTTGATCTATTAACGTAATTAACCAAGTTTGATCACATATTTTGGTTCGATAAAATATGAATATGAAGCTCGATTCGTATTCAAAAATCATAAATTATGTACACAAATCAAGCTACTTGATTTCGATTCGTGTTACATTAGTTATGGAGCTCGACCAACCAATTTGAAGGAAAAAGAAGGAAAAATAAATGGGCCTTCCAAATTAATTTGAAGATCATAAGAGTTAAGTAACACAAATAAATAAATAACAATTAATATAAATGGCAGAGTTAATATGAAGGATAAAAGAGTCAATAATTTTATTTCAAAGGGCAGTAGGGCAAAATAGTAATTGCAAATGGAAATAAAGTGATATGAAGGATAAAAGAGTCAATAATTTTATTTCAAACGGCAGTAGGGCAAAATAGTAATTGCAAATGGAAATAAAGTGAAAATATGAAGAAAAAAAAAAAAAAAAGAAATTCGCTAGAAAGAGGGGTCGAACCTCTGACCTTGTGGTTAACAGCCACACGCTCTAACCAACTGAGCTATTCCAGCTTCGTTGTTAATCTATCTCCAGTTTATTATATATTAAACTACATTCACCAATTTTCCAGTTCATTTGTATATGCTACTCTGCTCCGCCGTAGGCGGCGGGAGAAAGACGCACAGAGATGAGGAAAACAGCTCTGTACATGCTTTCAAGACGACGATCCTTTTCATCGGACCCAGAAATCCCAACCCTTTACTCCTTCCTCCAACCTTCAATTTTCTCACTCAAGAGAACCACCAATCACCGGCAGCAACCAATCATCCCTCCACCCAATTCCCAACAAAACCCCGCTTCCAACCCCCAAAAATCCAATCTCGAATCCACCCTCCAGCAATCCCTCTCCGACAACAACACCGACGAGGCCTGGAAATCGTTCAAATCCCTAACAAGCTGCTCCTCCTTCCCCAGTAAGCCCCTCACAAACTCCTTAATTACACACCTGTCCTCCCTCCCCAACACCCACAATCTCAAGAGGGCATTTGCTTCATCAGTTTTCTTGCTGGAGAAAAACCCATCTCTATTAGAACACAAAAGCGCGGCGGCCCTTTTGGATTCCATGAGAACCGCCAACGCCGCCGCACCTGCTTTCGCATTGGTTAAGAGCATGTTCAAGAACAGATTCTTCATGCCGTTTGAGATGTGGGGATCTGTGCTCGTCGATATTTGTCGTAAAAATGGGAGCTTTGCTCCCTTCTTGGGAGTTTTCCATGAGAGCTGCAGGGTTGCTTTTGATGAGAAGATTAATTTCATGAAGCCTGATTTGGTTGCTTGTAATGCTGCATTGGAGTGTTACTGTCGAGAAGTCGAATCGGTTGTTGGTGCGGAGAAATTGGTCGAAACTATGTCGGTTCTAGGGGTTAGGCCGGACGAGATCAGTTTCGGTTTACTTGCTTATTTGTACGCTTTGAAGGGGCTCGATGAGAAGGTGGTTGAGTTAGAGGGTTTGATTTGTAAGCTTGGTGTTTCTGATAAACGACACTTTACTCATAGTTTAATTTGCGGCTATTTGAAATCGGGCAAGTTCGAATCGGTTTCTGATGCGGTACTGCGCGGTTTGAAAGAAGGGGATGGGCTAGGGTTTAGTCAAGAAACTTGTAACGAAGTGGTGAAAGGGTTTGTGCAGAACGGCGATTGCAATTGCAAGAGTTTAGCCGATTTGATAATCGAAACCCAAAAACTCGAACCTTCATCTATTACGGTGGAGCGAACTTTCGGATACGGTGTGATCACTGCCTGTGTTAATCTAAGTTTACTAGACAAGGGTCATTCGATTCTTGATGAAATGAATGCTCAAGGGGCTACGATCGGCCTAGGCGTTTACGTGCCGATTCTGAAGGCTTACTGCAAAGAGCAAAGAACAGCCGAAGCTGCTCAATTAGTGACGGAACTTTCTAGTTTAGGACAAAGGTTGGATCTTTGTACCTACGATTCCCTAATCGAGTCGTCAATGTCGAGCCAAGATTTTCAGTCTGCGTTTTCGATCTTTCGCGACATGAGAGAAGCAAGAATGCACGACTTGAAAGGCAGTTACTTGACGATCATGACGGGCCTAACCGAGCATCATCGGCCCGAATTAATGGCCGCTTTTCTCGACGAGGTTGTTGTGGACCCTAGGATCGAGATAGGTACTCATGACTGGAATTCGATTATTCACGCTTTTATTAAGGCTGGGAGATTGGAGGACGCGAGGAGAACTTTCCGGAGGATGGTTTTCTTGCAGTTCGAGCCGAACGAGCAGACGTATTTGTCGCTTATTAACGGGTTCGTGAGCGTGGAGAAGTACTTTAGCGTATTGATGCTGTGGAACGAGGTTAAGAGGAAGGTTTCGTGTAGTGGAGACGGAAAGTTTCGATTGGATAGTAGCTTGGTCGATGCGTTTTTGTACGCTTTGGTGAAGGGCGGGTTTTTCGATGCTGTGATGCAAGTGGTGGAGAAATCGCAAGAGATGAAGATATTTGTCGACAAGTGGAGGTACAAGCAAGCGTTCATGGAGAAGCATAAGAAGCTGAACGTGTCGAAGGTGAGGAAGAGGAATTTCAAGAAAATGGAAGCTTTGGTTGCTTTCAAGAATTGGGCTGGTTTGAATTCTTGATTTAGTGTCGCGTCGGCATTTTTTTGTGTAAAGGCGAAACTTTTTTAAAGAAGGTTTATCGGTTCGAACATCGAACAAAAGTCCATCGTACGCGGTTTATCGGTGCTCCTTTTTAGGGTGATGAGTTGATTTCGTTTGTTGCAATCGAAAATAATCGGATAATTACCGTTTTGTTTTTTGCCTTAGTAGGATTCACGTGTCGATTTTGACGATAAAGGTCGATTTTTGTACCTGTGTATTGTTGTGAAGTAAGAATGGGAACTTCTTCTTCATCAAAAAGCTCCATGAATGAATAATGTGTATGATTAGAATATGTTCAAAATGTACAGAAGTGAAACTTAAAAGCTGATTTTTTTTTGTTAAGGCAAGAGTTGCAACTGTAGATGTTTGCAAAAGTATATAAACTCTTTAAAAAACATTAAAAATGAAAAGAAAAAAATAAATAAATATGAAGTATGAAGTATCACTCAAATTCAACTCCAATCCTATTGCATTCCATTCCCTAGTGTGAATACAATAAGTTGATTCATTGAAGGCAGCGACTATTTGCAAGACGAAAATTACTTAGGGCAAGACCAAATTAATTTTTTTTATTAAATTCAGTATAAAAAGACTATAATAACCTTAATAAAATACAAACAAAATAAAAATTATTTCATTAATTTCCTTTTGCAAGACCAATTTAGAAAAAGAAAAATTAATAAAAAAAGAAAGAAAAAAGATATTGAATTGAGAATTGAAAAACGAGGAGGGAAGAAGGAAAGAAGAAAACAAAAAAATCAATTGCAGCACTCAACCGTCGCCTCGACGCCGTCGCCCCGTCGCCGTCGCCGTTGAAGTCCACCACCTCCCCGTCACTGTTGAAGTCCGTTGTTGCCCCAACCCCGCCACAACAATCTCACGAAAAACAAGTAATGAAATTACTTTTTAAATTAACTTTTTTTTGAGAAATAAATGTGATAAACATGATTTTATTGTTAGAATAATGAACTCAAGTCATTTTAGAACATAGTTGATGATTCTAGGGTTCGATTGTAGCACTATTGTTGAAGGAGTTGCGGGTTTACAAAAAACGACCTGTACTTGTCGATTTTTCGGAAATTTTTTGACATACTGGTGTCGATTTTTGAAAAATCGACACACCAGCGTCGAAATATGCGCTTAATACCGACACCAGAATGTCGAAAATTTCAATATAATTCGACAGTTAAGGAGTGTCGAATTATGTTGAAATTTTCGACACTACTGTGTCGATATTAAGCGGATATTTCGATCTGTACATGTCGAATTTTTTGTACGTGAAATGAGGTCCGAAAAACGAGAAAAACGATCGCAAAGTACAATATTTCTTACCTCTTTGTGTTCTTCAACCTTAGAATCCTCCATATTTATGTCTTGTGTATCCATAATGTCCTTCTTTTCAAGTTTTAGTAAGATTTGAGGGTTTTATGTGATAAGGGTTTTGGAGAATATGGAAGATTTTTTTGTGGAAAAAAATGTGTAATATGAGGGTGAAGAAGAAGATGTTGGTGTTTTGTTGGGGGAGTGAGTTCCCTCTCTTTTTTCCTTTTTTTTTTTATTCTTTTTTTTGTATTTTTTTTTTTGGTCTTGCAATAGCAATTAGCTTAATTTAAATTAATAATATCTTAATTATTATTGGGGTTATATTTGTAATTTCCAGTCTTGATCTTAGTAAATTTATTTATATTTTGGTCTTGCATGAAGTAAGGTCTTGCACTTAGTAATTTTCGTCTTGCAAATATTCGCTGCCTTCATTGAATCATATTATTGCGGCGCGTGTCTGCATTCAAACCAAAAAAAGAGAAGAAAATATTGAAATTTGAATTCAAAATGTAAGGGAGAATTACATTTTCACCCCTGGTGTTTCATCGGCTTTCACTTTTGGTCCCCATTGTTCAAAAGTCAACAAAATACACATCTAAAGTTCACTTTTATATGCCTTTAGTCCGCTGCGTCACTTGCCAGTTAACATCTACTAGAAAACATTATTTTGGGGCAAAAACTAAGGGATTTTTTTTTTCCTTTTTTCTTTTAGTTGCAAAATAAGGAAAAGTAAAAGCAAAATAATAGTTAAAACTATATTATTCTTTAACCCCAAACAAATTTCAATTTCAATTTTTGCCCTAAAATAGTGTTTAAATTAGATGTGAACGGACAAGTGTGTTTAAAATTGAACTTTCGATCAATATTTTGTCTATATTGGAAAACAATGGGGACCAAAAATGGAATCGGGTAAAACATGGGGACCAAAATACAATTCTCCCTAAAAAGTAACGAAAAAGAAATAAACATTTTAAAAACCGAAAAGAACTCTAATTTAACTGCAACTAAAGAAATAATGACAGAAAAAGGCCAACAGATGAATACAAAATACGCCTACATTCAAGCCTCGGATCATCGAATCTCCCACCGAACATTCCAAAAGTTGTTTCTCTTATATATATATATATATATATATATATATATATATTCCCCACTCGCACTCTCTCACTTGCCGTTTGCTGAAAGATTAATCATCATCACCATCAACAACTGAAGAAAGCATCATTATACACAAAAGGGTTCCATTTATTTCAAGTAATTTCTTCCTATTGCTCTGTTTATTTCAATTTCAATTTTTTTTTATTGGTTATTGGTCCTTCAATTCTTGAATTTTACTACTCCCGCGCGTGTGTGCACTATGATTGATTAGGCTGTGGAATTATTTTTTTTCAGTTCATTCATGGGTGTAATTTCTTTTAGATATATACATGTTGCAGAGTATCATCTCTCTCTCCCTCTCTCTCTCTCTCTCTCTCTCTCTCTCTCTCTCTCTCTCTCTCTCTCTCTCTCTCTCTCTATGATTATGATGTGTATTGTTGCTGAAGTAATGATTTTCATGTTTCTGAGGAATGTGGTGGATCCCTTATACTCAATTTTAAATACCCTTTTTCTTGCCTTTTCATTTAAATAAACAATTTCGAATTTAAAATATTCTTTAATGTGGTGATCTGTACTCATTTATGTTCGGTTCTTTCGATTCTTATTGATTTCTCGTCATTTCAGGTTGAATGCAATGAAAATCCTCCTCCACCTTTTCGCGGTCTTGTGCATTTTCTTAAGGCTCGAAGAGGTGAAATCGCACGGGGTTCAACCTCTTTCGGCAATTGCTATCGAAAAGGCTGTTTTTGCTTTAGACAGTACGGCTTACATTAAAGCTTCTCCATCGGTTCTTGGAGTCGATGTAAGTCTTGCATTCATCCGAATATGATACTTTGTGCAGTTCTAAATCGAAAATTATCGTGATGAACTGATGCAAATATAATGTTTTCATTTCGCAATTCCAAGAAACTCAATTATTTAGATGGTTAAAATTTTTTCGACTTTTAAAACAATTTTTCTTTTTTCTCGTAGGAGAAAAACAAAGAATGGGTTACTGTAGAATATAGCAGCTCAAAACCATCGATCGATGACTGGATCGGCGTATTTTCTCCTGCCAATTTCAGGTAAAGACTTAAATATTTATGCAATTTCATTTGTTTTCGACTTTTTTTCCTCATTCGATATGTGGTAAAAATTCTAGAATTGTGTGTGTGTGTTTTTTCGGAATTTGATGAAATCGTACTTAACATTTTCAGCTCATCCACCTGCCTCCCGGAAAATCCGAGAGTTGGCCCACCGTATTTATGTACAGCTCCGATAAAGGTTTTCTCCAATTGCATATTGCAATGATTTTGTTCAAGTCATTAACTTAGAAACGTGATATTTACAAAGAGGCTAAACAAATTCATATTTGTATATTTTCATTTTTTTTGCAGTATCAGTTTGCGAATTTCAGCAACTCTAAGTATAAAGACTCGGGCAAAGGATCTTTGAAGCTTCAGTTGATTAACCAGCGATCGGACTTCTCGTTTGTTTTATTTTCCGGCGGTGTGTCGAATGTAGGTATCCAATTTATACAGTTTCAAGACAATTTTTTTTATAGATTTCCGCTTTCTTTGTGGGATATTTTCTCGTACTTAATTTTGTGTCAACTTTGCCCTTTTACCTTGCAACAGCCAAAAGTGGTTGCAGTTTCAAATACAGTCGCCTTTGCTAATCCAAACGCGCCTCTATACCCACGTCTAGCTCAAGGAAAGACATGGAATGAAGTTAGTTTCCGATTTTTTTTTTTTTAAATATATAAATATTCACACTATAACATTGGACCATTACGTACACAAGTCGAGCAAACGACTAATTTCATAATCTTGTGCACAGATGACTGTAACCTGGACTAGTGGATACGGTATCGATTTAGCCGAGCCTCTCATCGAATGGGGTCCGAAAGGAGGGCAACAGATACGATCTTTAGCGGTTACTCTGACTTTCGACCGCAATAGCATGTGTGGTGCGTTGAAATCTCCCTCGTCTCGGTTTAACTTTTCGATACACACCGAAATTTATCGTTCGTATTAAAAATAATATGAACTATCTTCCTGTATCGAGTGAGACAAATATGCAGAGAAAACTTATATAAGAAGTTCATTTCGTTGAATAGATGAACGGGAGTTCTTGATTTGAAGATTTACGGTAAAATTTTAAATGCGAGGCGCACGATTTTGTAGGTGCCCCTGCAAGAACCGTTGGATGGCGTGATCCTGGATTTATTCACACTAGTTTCTTGAAAGAGTTATGGCCCAACTCACCGTACGTTTCTCTTCCATTACCTTATGGCACAGTCTCGATTTCGACCTCCTTTGACGTTTGATAATTTAATATTTGACGTTGAAAGCATTTTGTAAATTCAATTTTTATAGCTAAATAGGCCTCGTTGTTGATTTTTTCAGTTACACGTATAAATTGGGGCATAAATTGCTCAACGGTACGTATATCTGGAGCGGTAATTACCAGTTCAAAGCATCTCCGTATCCCGGTCAGAACTCTGTGCAACGAGTTATCATTTTCGGTGACATGGGAAAGGTTCGACTCTTTCCAGAAGATTCTCTTTTTTCTTGTTCCAGATTAAAGGGATTATGAATTTCATTTACATTAACGTCGCGTGATTGAGAAGTGTTCGTTTTTTTTTTCACTTTATAACTGCAGGATGAAGCCGATGGTTCGAACGAGTATAATAATTTCCAACGAGGCTCCCTCAACACTACAAAACAGCTCATCGAAGATTTGAAGAATTACGATATTGTATTTCATATCGGAGATATATGTTATGCTAATGGATATCTTTCGCAGTGGGATCAGTTCACTTCTCAAGTCGAGCCAATCGCTTCGAGAGTACCGTACATGATTGCCAGGTGGAGTGATTGGTTGACAATGCACGTAATTTATCGTTTTTTTATTTTTATTTATGTAATATTATTGTTGTTGGTTACGATATCTGCAGTGGCAACCACGAGCGCGACTGGCCTGGAACGGGTTCGTTTTATGGGAACATGGATTCGGGTGGAGAATGTGGTGTCTTGGCTGAAACTATGTTTTTCGTTCCTGCTGAAAATCGAGCTAAATTCTGGTACGTCGAATATTATATTTTTTATCAATTTTGTGTGTTGTGACTAGGGGTGCAAGTTGGAACGGAAATTCCAATTTCCGCCGGTTCCGATCCAAAAAGTTTCGATTTTGGAACAACTTTTTTTTATTTCGACTTCCGAAATTCCGATTTCCGAATTTTTCTGATTTTTTTGGATTGGAATTGGAGTTATATAAAAAATAGTTGGAATTTACGATTTCCGATTTCCGATCCGATTTAATTTCCAAAATTAATTCTGAAAAATTCCAATTTTTTCCCAAAAAATACACCTATAAATAATATATATTATATCATACTTATTATAATTTTTTTTTATTTTTTCTTCTGAAACATTAATTTGATTAACTTTTGTTTTAAGATTTTAACATATGAGTTGTTGTTAGAGGGTTTATTGGAAATTATGATGTTGTTTATTTTTATTTATTTTTTTGAAGTAGTTATTAGTTTCACTTTTTTGGACTTCGATGTTCTTTTTTTTGGAAAATTATGATTTTTTTAGAAAATTTCCGCTGTGATTTCTGATTTTTTTTTTCCGAAATTCCGTAATTTCCTGGCATTTTGGAATTGGAATGAATTTTCAGATTTCAAAAAAAATTGGAATTGGAATTGATTTTGTACTTCCGAAATTTTTGGAAATTTTCCGAAAAGGGTAATTCCGATCCAATCCATCCGACTTTCACCCCTAGTTGTGACGAAATTTGCAAAAAATGTTTTTTTGTTTTTTTTTTATTTTTCATGGAAAGATATTATTTGTAATAAAAAAAATTACTCGACTTCTATTATCCAAATTGATTTCGTCTATATTCTTGTGGTAGGTACTCGACCGACTATGGAATGTTCCGTTTCTGTATAGCAGACACAGAACATGATTGGAGAGAAGGAACTGAACAATACAAATTTATCGAGCACTGTTTGGCATCGGTGGATAGACAAAAACAACCATGGCTAATATTCATTGCGCATCGTGTGCTCGGTTATTCTTCAACTGATTTTTACGCAAACGAGGGCTCCTTTGCTGAACCAATGGGAAGAGACGACCTTCAAAAACTATGGCAGAAGTATAAAGTTGACATTGCTTTTTACGGGCACGCTCACAGTTACGAACGGACTTGTCCTATTTACCAGGTAATAAGTTTTAATTTTTGATAATCCGATCCAAAAATCTCCGATTTTAGAACAAATATTTTCATTTTGAATTCCGAAAGTTCCGATTTCTGATTTTTTTGAAACGGGGTTGGAAGACAAATTAGATTCCGATTTCCAAAAATATTTTCAAAAATTTCCGTTTCCCCGTTGAAAATTACACTTCTAATATGAATATTATTATGTATTTTGTACTATATGTAGCCAAAAAGTTGGAATTTTTCCGAATTCCGTCGATTCAATTCGAAAGTTTCCGATTTCGGAACAATTTTTTTCTTTCCAATTTCCGAAATTTACGATTTCCGCATTTTTTACGAACCAATACGATTGGCATCATATTTCTCAAATTTTCTCATCAAATCGAAATCGTTTAATACAATTTACAGTTTATCTCTTTGGTTGGTGCAGAATATATGTACGAGCAACGAGAAGCATTATTACAAGGGTAGCTTAAACGGAACCATACACGTGGTGGCTGGAGGAGGGGGTGCCAGCCTGTCGGATTTCTCGACTTTCACACCAAGGTGGAGTCTTTTCCGAGATTCCGATTACGGATTTGTGAAGTTGACTGCGTTTGACCACTCGAATCTGTTGCTCGAGTACAAAAAGAGCAGCAATGGAGAGGTTTACGACTCGTTGAGAATATCGCGGGATTATAGAGATATATTGGCTTGTGCTGTAGATAGCTGCCCCAGTGTGACCCTTGCTTCTTGATTGTCATCTCACTTTTTTACAGTCTTCTCAGTTCAATGCAATACAAGTTTTTTTTTACCTATTTTACCCTCTCTCTCCATGAATTAATTTGCTTTTTTATCATGTCATTTGATATTTTATACATAATATTAAATTTTTATTTAAAATTAAAAATTTATATAGGGTAAATTACACCTACACCCCTAAGGTATACTAAAATAACTTTAAGGTCCCTGTAGTATCGGTAATTACAATCACCCCTAGCACGTTGTTAGAAACCTTATAAATTATAATGCATTGTATAAGTTATTTCGTTAGGGTTCTAACAAACTATTAGTTTCAGGCAGTGGTGAAGACTACTACAGTCTACAAGAAATTTAAAGTTATCTTAGTATACATCAGAGATGTAGGTGTAATTTACCTTATATATATAAAGAGTAAATTACGATAAAGTCTATTAAAAAAATCCTTCTTGAGAAATTACATCTAGACCCCTGTAGTTTGTAAATTTATTACATCCACCTCTTACAAAATGTAAGAAATGTACAAACTGCAGATGTGGATCTAATTATGAAAAAAGGAGGGGTCTTTTCGTAAACAAACGGTATGAATGAATGAGGGTCTCAAATTCACAATCCACAATCTAGTGGCTCACAAACACCCCGGTGACACTTGCAAACAAGCCCTTGTCTTCCACTCAAAATATATAATAAAATAAAATAAAATAAACATCATATACCAAATCAAGGTTCGCGCCATCCACTACAAGACCGTGATTTATATCCGACCAATTAATATTTGACCTGTACCCACACTGTAATGATCAATGACCATTTCCATTTCTTGATTTTCAACACACCGAATCATTTCTTGCATCAACAAGATCTTCACTTTATATATATAGGATAGGATTTTATAATTGCTTTTGCTTTGTATGAAGAAATGGATTTATGGGTTATTGCAGCAGCCGCCGGTGCTGGATATGTAGCCAAGAACTTGCAGAATCTGTCTCTTGATACCAAAGAAACCCTAATTGGATCTTCTTCTTCTTCTTCCTCCAAATATTCGTACAATTTTCGATCGGAATCGAGGAATCTCCTGCAGCAGTTGAGAGATAGAACTTGCCCGTTACGCAGATTAGAGCAAACGGTAGCTGCAGCTCGAGATGACGTGGATGATCATGATCAGATGACGACTGATGTTAGGGACACGGAATTTCGTGTAGCTTCGGAGAAAAATAGGTTTGTCGAGGATTATAATAGCATCGGATGGATTTCCAGTTCGCCACCGATGTTGTTCGAGCGTTTGGAAGTTGAAGATGGTAAAATTAGAAACCTCGGAAGCAATTTCACTAGACCGGGAAAGCTGTCGTCTTCTTGTTTTGAATCGGCTAAACCACCGTCGTTCCGTTACCAAGGTCTCCCTCTTCGTGTTTCCGTGCTTGCGATTTTTTATTTGTTTTTAACGTATTTCGGTTTTTTTCTTCTGCGTCTGAATTTTGCGAAAAAAATTTGATGTTGTATCAGGATCCGATGCGATGCTTCTTTTCGTTACTGGAATGACTGTGGGGATAATGTCGGCCACTACAGCCTGGAAAAACGAAGTGGAAAAGTCGAATAAGCAGCTGAACCAGATGCATAATTTAGTTCAAGATTTGCACGAAGAACTCGACATGAAAGATGTGCTAATAGTGAAGGAGATAACCGACGAGGAGTATCTGCCCCCACAAGAAAACGACACCCCTCCGTCAATTCACGAGCCAATCACATCTCCTTCCAACGTGGCAGATGAAGAAGATAGAAAAACGGAGAATCTGAGCAAAATAGAGGCAGAACTTGAAGCTGAACTGGAGATGCTGGAAAATAACTTGAAAATATATGGTGTTTCTGAGGTAAGAAACATTTGGCCTAAAAGTTCATTTAATTCGAATATTCTTCAGTTTTCTGACTGTTTTTGTCTCCAGATCGATCCAGTTTTCGAACCAGATATTGTTCGAGTTCAGCCTGTAAATTACGCAGTTAACCCTTGGGAGCTGAGCTTGCGGCTCCACGAGCTGATAGAATCCAGGCTCGAAAAACGGATCAACGAGCTAGAGACAGCTCTTGCTAAAACTCAAAACGGTGACAAAGTACTAGGTTCGCAAACCGTTGTTTTCCCTAAAAGGATATTCTCTTACAGCGAAACAGAATCCTCATCCACACACCAAAGTCCTGCATGTATATGCTATATCGATAAGGATCAAGAAAACGAGGAAGGAGATGGAGCACAGTTTTTCGATAAGCAAATATCGACGAGATTTATGTCGAACGAGGATTGTTCGAGTGAAGATGAAGGCACCGATGAATCCGAAATGCTTCTGATAAAGCAGATAGTTGAGAGGACGAAATCTGGTTCCAGTTTCAATCTGAAGATCTGATTGGTTATATATATATATATATATATATATATATATATATATATATATATATATATATATATATATATATATATATATATATAATACAGAAGAGTGTAAATAATTTACATGTAAAGGTATTGAGGGATGTGATTAAAACAATACAAGAACAAATTTCATGACAAGATAAAATGCCCTTTCATGATCGGAACATGTCGGAAATTCACTTTTCCGGTATTCAACTAAAACAAGAAATCTCTCATCACAGAGAGTTCATAAATCGTAACCAAGTTCCGACTTCAAATTATGTTTATCTTCTACTTACAGTCTACAAAGGAAGGACTTTTTTGTGCCTGAAATAGATCAAGAATGCCATATACAGCATCCCACAAAATACTCCACTGACGATCAGTACCCAATTAAATGTCGATGGGTTTTCAAATACGGTATCCTCGAAATTCATACCAAAGACTGCAGTCACAACAGCAAAAATAGTGGCCACGAAAGTAGCAGCTGTAAGAAGCAACTCGAATTGGATCAATTGGTTCTGAACATTTCCCTGTCACAACAATGAAAAGCAAATTCAAAATTTTGAATACGATATATTACTCTTAATTAAATATCGGTCCTTACCAGCTTTATGTTGATTAAATCCTCGGTATCCTCGATATACTCTTTAAGCTGCATTTCCAAGAAAACAGGATAGAAAAAAGAACATTTAAATGCACTAGCCAGTAGGGTTTACTATGAATCTTTTTTTCTTACCGATAGTAATTTGTTGAGTGTGTTGTCTATGACTACGAAGTATGCCTCCAACAACATCTCGAGTTGATCGATGTTTTCTCCACCGCTGGATGAACTCAAGAAGCTTCCGTGTTTGCTGGAACTGATACTACTAAAAGCTCTCTGCAACTTCTGAAATCCACTACACGAACCCACCGGAGAAACGGGTGCAGATTTAGATACAGACTTGATAACATCTTCCGGAGAATTGTTTTGATCACTTAAATCACTGTTTGTGAGATTGTCCCTTCTTTCTTTCTTCTCGGTTAAATACATCTCTGCCATGTCTCCATCATCATTCATAAGATGCTCTATTTCATCGCAAACCTAAAATTCAAGGGCAAAGCCGAGAAATCCATTATGATTAGTTATGTGTGTGTTGAGCTTAAACAGCAAGAAATTCGGTCACTTGTACCTTTTGTACTCGCTGAGTTAAGGCGAGCAGGTGCCCTTTGAATCTACGTACTCGCTCCAGATTGAGAGTGCTTATGGATGATGCCAATTCGTCGAGCACGGGATATATCTCCAATTCCAGTTCTTTGACCTAATAAATTCATGAAATTCAGTATAATGACATAGCTAACACATTGTTATTTGGATGAATGACTTGCTTGTATTGAATTTGTAAGAACTGATGCCATAAATATGTGGGCCTTTGTCAAAAACCTTTCATCATTTAGTGATCGGGCAACGATTTTTGTCAAAGATCCTTTGGTTATTCAGTGATCAACTTCGTGAAATTAAAGCATCTAACTTTTGGATCCACTATGAGTCTTTATTGTTGTCGTTGGTTACTTATCAAATGTTGATTTGAGTGCATCCTAGGTTCTCTTACAAAAGGGAAGTGCGAAAGAAGAATCTATAATTATATCGGAAGACAAAACTGCATACCTGAGCATCAAGAGACATACATGTAAGTTCCAGAGCAAGTTCCAATGCCCTGAACTCGAAAGGTAGATCATCTGAATCACATAAGTACATACTGTGAGTGCGACTTGTATTTTTTGAAAAATGAAAATAAATAGTGATACAATCAAGTTCTACAACTAACTATACACTGTTTTAAAGGTCTCTAACAACAATCCATTGGTCAATACTAACAGCTGATTATTATAAAACGTTTAACCTTATTGATTTTGTGACTGCTTTAATGAATGTAGAAATATCTAAGTTCAACTTTCATCCAGCTACATATTACAAGTAAACTAAGTACTTATCGACAAATATTTGATTACTGATATAAGCGTCTCAATTTTGTGATGTGGATCAACTTTGACTCCCACGGGTCTTGCCCACTTGTATATTTTTTGAAGTAAATGGAAACCAACCAAATGATTAAAAATCTCATTTCACATCATTCAAGATGCAAAGTAAAAAATAGAAGCATCAAAACGAGAGAAAGCAAGAACGTGGATACCGTTTTCTAGACTTGCTTTCAGTTGAAATTTCTTCCCACTGAACGAACCAACACTAGTTACGATCACAGAAATAGTATAGCTATATGATTTATTGCCTTGCTAGCACTGGACTCAGCTTTTAGATTTCAAGTAAGCACTTACTTCCTATAGATATTCGTTTTTCTATTAAACCAATGTAGATAAACGATAGTGTATGAAAATGAATGATGGGAACATAAAAAGTAAATCTAACATCTACATGACATATATTAAGGATTACTAAGCACTAGTAACCATTAGCTTACCATATTGATCTTTTGCCATCTCAAGACGCTTGCACAATTCAGATTTGTACTGTTGTACGGACCCATCCAAAGAGTTCTTCAGTATAACCTCATCGGCTGTGATTACACATCTAATCTGCTCAAGACTGACAACAATAGCTTTCTCACGACCTAATATTGAGGAGGGATATATAAATAAAGGATCCAAAAGCCTCAAATCTCTAGAAGGCAAAGAGCAACGCCTCATTAGAGTAAACTTATCCAGCTCCATAGTTTTGGAATCCCCTTTGCAATCAATCAATATCCAAGACCGGCTTCCAAGATTGTGACCTCTCTTCTTTAAGCCTGGAAATCCAGCTCCACGTAGATTGTTACTACCGAGCTCATCAATATAATATCTTGACGATTGAAGGGAAGTGATAAATTCGGGACTGAAAGATGGAGGGTCTAGTTGAGGCATCTCGTTTGATATTTATTTCGTCTGGAATTTTACAGCTAATAGCTCTCTTCATCCGATGAGTTCAACATGTAGGCTAGTGCATAATCTGCCGAGCCGAAGTACTGTTGCCGAAATTGGAGTCAAATTATTTCTGCATTCTAACGTAGAACCTGGAAAAAACGTAGTTATGATACTATATGAAGAGATTTCTTCAATATTTTTTTTACATTTTGTCAGTGATTAGAAAAAAAAAAAAAAAAAATATCTTCGCATTCAAACTAAAACTATACACAAAATTGTCATCATTCGTCAATTGCAACTAAGTTTCCATTAAACAAGTCAAAATGCAGTTGTTCTCAATTTGTCTTCGGGTTCTTCAAACTTTTGACACCGAGCCTATAAACCATACTAAGCAAGAACAAATTCTTGCATCAAGTTGTCCTATTTGTATTACTTCAAAAGTACAACAGGATTTGGAGTAAATAGAATAAGATAATTATAAAACCATGTTAAAGAACAATTCCGAATCCATGTTCCAAAAAATAGTATAAAACGTTTTAAAATGCCTTCAATTCCAGTACACATGGAATTCAGATTAAGAAAAGCAAAACTTAAAATCACCCATTCTGATCAATCGGACGAAGCAATTCATCATCCAAATTTCCATCGGAAAGTATGAATACTTGAAACCAATTTTCCATGTTTCATGTAAATTGCGACCATAATCAAACATCAATACGTGAAAAAAACAGTGAGAAATTAAACCAATTGAGAAAACCCCCACTGCCGTTACTCACTATATGCACAGATTAAGACGGTGGATAAAAATCTTACTTTTTGTTTGACGAAACTGTTTAAGTGTTCTTCAGAGGGATTTCCCCATGTTTCAATCAAAGGAAAGAGACGCTCAGTACATCATCCTTCTCTGCCAATTCGTATTTGCATGTGTTTTTGGGGGCGTCGCTAACGCTACCAGACTATTTTGTGTTTGTGTGTGTGTGTGTGTTCGTGTGTGAGAGAGAGAATGGGGGATGGTGTAGTCTGATGATCGATGGCGTAGAGAGAGAGAACAGTGAGCACGTTTTCAATTTAGATCTGAAAACGCGACTCTGTAATTAATCATTTGAGGCCAAATTACGGCCACCTCCCTAAGGTATGGCTAAATTACGAAAAAACCTCTTTTGTTTGGGTAATTACAGCCACCCCTCCTTTAAAATATTTTTACATGAAATTTATGTAATTCGATTATTTACCGAACTAAATCGTATATTAAGCTCGGTAAACGGTATGAAATGTTGGCATACCAAAATTTCAGTTCGATTTTACCGGATTAACATCCCTAAATTTACCCCTAAATGGGTCTTTTCGTAAGATTATACATAATTGAAGGGTGACTGTAATTACCCAAACAAAAGGGATTTTTATAATTTAACCATAACTCAGGGGTTGCCGTAATTTGCCATCATTTAATTGTCCTTCTTTGAATAACCCAATCTACATGCAACCAAATCTAATTTACTCAAATATGTTTTGACAGATCAAGTAAAAATGCAAAACTAGACCAATATTCCAAATCTATAATATTCCAAATCTATGTAGTCATGTGACACGACTAGAGATGGAAATTGAAATTGCATTTTGGAATTCCATCGATTCCAATCGAGAATTTGCAAATTTTGAAACAATACTTTTCAATTTTTATTATGAATCTCGACACTTCTGGTCTTTTTCCTTTTCTCCAAACGGTATTGTTATGCATATTAGATTCCAATTTCGGATTGAATTTTAATTTTTGAAAGTTTGACTCTCCCCTACCCATAAAAAGAATTTTACACTTATATCAATATTATTATGTTTTTTTCTTTTATTATAGGTGATAATAAATTCGAAGTTTTTTAAACATGCCGGTTCCAATATAAAAAAAAAATATCGATTTTGGAACAAAAATTCTCACTACAAATTATAATATGATGGGTCTGATTTACATCTCTAATCACGACCTTGCGTTAAAACCAAGGGACACATTAACTAATCGTTCATATGTATGAAAAATAACTAGCAATAAGATGCCTTGATTTATTATTATTTTTCTTGGAGAAAATATAGTTTTTATCCCTCAAGTTTGCATCGATTTTACATTTTGTCTCTCATATTAACAAAAAAACACATTTGGTATTATATGTTTCAAAAATTCAACATTTTTAGTCATTTCAGTCAAGTTTCCGTTAAAACTAACAGAATCAAACGTGTGCATGTTATTGCCTTAACTAACGATAAATTGACGAAAATGTTAAATTAT